GAAAACCAAAGGGAGGGTCCTTCTCAGGAGCTCTCTGGGCCAGGAGGCTCTGAACCCTGGCACTTCAGACCTCCCCTTCCCTGTTTGTGCCAAGCACTGACAAGGAGAAGCCACTGTCCTCGGCCCTAAACTAGGAGGGGTCCACCCCCCCCCAGCCCCAGCCCCCATCCAGCCCAGTCCCAGAAGCCCACAGGCAGGACGGGGGGGACGGGGACTGGTTTTCTCTGGATCTGGAACTCAGTTGCCCGCTGCCAGGAGAAAAGGGCCACTGGGCCCCATAGCCCCCAACCCCAGTGGACACCTCACCCCCCGCCACCGCCTTCCAAGACATGATGCTAAGTAAGAGATGCTTCTCGTACCTTGATCAAGTTCTGGAATTTCTTGCTTTGCTGCATCAGCTCTTTATAGTAATTCACTGCCTCGCCATGGCTGCTGCAGAAGATGCCATATTTCTCCTTCATCCGCTCCCCGGTTTCACCTGAGAACTGAGCCAGAAGCAGAAGAGAGGATGCCCTCCGTGCACAGGAGACTGAAGGCTCCCAGCAGAACCAGGCCGGGGTGGGGGGGAGGCAGGGGTGGTGGTGGTCTAGCTGCAAGAACTGGCTTTTGGCTGCACATCTTTGGCTCAAAACAGATGCAGAGCCTCAGAAAGGGGTCTGGTCCCGGCATCCAATAGAGAACTGGAAATACTTTGTTTTTGAAAAGCTGACCCAGAATGTACACGGGAAACCTTCAAGGAAAGGTCTGAAAATGCCTGGCTGGCTTTGAAGGAGAGGACGTCATCTGAGCTGGCAGGGTAATAACAACTCCTGAAGGGGGAGTCAGCTGCTCGGGGGGGTGTGTGTGTGCATTGTTATTGTTGTTGTTGAATGCTTGGCCCAGAACACTTTCACTCTGGAGTGGCCCCTTATTTAGGTGAAGATGACTCTTTATTTAGCTTTAATTACAGCCCACCTTCCTCACTGAACCTCCAGCCGGCTTACAGGACAAAGCCCCATAATCAGGCACCGCAAGACACGAGTCCCCGGCGTGGTGCCCACGGGAGCCGTGGTGCCTGCTGACACCTTTCTTGTCACCCGCCCACCAAGTGCTTTCAGGAAGTGAGGTGGGCTTTGGCCTTGGCCACTGGAGGTCTGGCTGTCTGCGCAGATTTCTCAGAGCACTCCTCTCCACGGCAGCTGCCGCCACAGCACCAGCATCCTCACTGGGCGCCTGATGGTCAGCCGGGGCAGTCACTCTGCCGCTGGCTCCGCCTCCTGCATGGCTATTTTGTGGGCCCCCACCACACTGTGTCAACATTCCAAAGGTGCCCACGGGCCCAAAAGGGTTGGGGACCCCTGCCCTGGTTCCACTTGCAACAAGGCGGCGGCGGGGGGGGGGGAGATCAACAGCGCTGAAGCCCCCGCATCTCAGCCTGGGGGGAAAGCCATTCCCACTGCTGCTTCACATGAAGGGGGTGGGCACGTGCCCATCCCACCCAGTTCTGCCTCCTGCAGCTGGCAGCAGCTCTGCGGTGTTGTGGGCAGAGGAAGGGAGATCCTTCTCCAGCAGGAGGTGCCAGAAAACGGCCCTGGGCCCTTCTGCGCGCTCAGGAGGGGCTCCGCCACTGACCAGCAGGATCCCCGACTGCTTGCAAGCCCCTTCCCGGGACCCTCCCTCTTTACTCCAGACACTTCTGCAGAGCCAAGGGAGAAGCCCCGCCCCTCCCCACCGTCCACCCAAAGGGCAAGGTCCCCAGGAGCCCTGCCTGACCTGCTGCACCAAGAGATCCCCAATTCTCTGGATGACATAGTTGCGCTCACTGCCTTCTTCCAGGGCCTCCTTCCGGCGCTCCTTCAGCTGGGAAAGGAATGCCCAGTGCAGGTCCAGCAGCTCGTCCACGGAGGGGAAGAGGCGGTGGAGGACAGCATTGCTGAACTGCAACTCCTCCCTCATGGCTCGCAGGTAGACCTTCAGCATAATCTTGAGGGTCCGGACGTGGTGCATCTCCGTCTGCATCAGTTCTGGAAGGCAAGCGGCAGCCCTCAAACCGGTCTCTCCCCAAACCCACATCCGAGAACCCATTCCTCTCGACCATCTACACCTGAGGAGAGACGGCCACTTCGACGCCAGGCCTCCCCACCCCCATCACAAACCAGGGCCCAAGCGGCCACGCCCCAGGAGAAGGCGAGCCCCTCACCGTAGATGACGTCCTGCCGCTTGAGGACCTCCCGCTCCTGCTGCCTCGCGTACGGCTGCTCGACCGCCAGGCTCCACGACTGGGCCTCGAACTCCCGGGCATCGGTCTCCAGCTCATGCCACAAGGAGGCCAAATAAGCATCTCCAAACGACAAGAACCAGAGTCAGCCTTGCTGAAGCTCTTCCAACACGGGATGCTGCTAGCAGCCCGCCCACCAGGCTGACCTCTACAGAGACCGGCAGAGGAAGCCCCACTTCGGTTCCTCGTGCCGGGGCCCCTGAGAGGCACCATCTCCCGCCCAGGTGCCTGAATCAGCAGACCACTCCCCTCTCAGAGAGGAGGATACCACCTTTCCCCCCCGCAGGTCATGCAGGTCAAGGACATTGCTTGGGAGGTTCCCCCCCTCCTCAAGAGCAAAGGACCCTCTTACCTTCCACAAGCACAGACTCTGTTGCTGAAGGAGCAAGTGAGACAACATCTTCAGAGGGGGGTTTACATTTCAGGACTCCAGAATCTGCCTCATCCATCTCTCCACCAATGAGTCTAAACAGCCAAAGGAAAACACAGAGGTGGGTTACAGCTAGAACTCGCTGCCGGCGGATGGAGTGATGGACACGAGTGCCGATGACTTTCAAAGGCTACGTTCTTGGAGGGAGAGGCTCACTGACGGCTCCTCGGCACGGTGAGTAAAGGCAGCAAACCTATGAATACCAGTGCCAGGAGGCAGCGATGGGGAAGGCCTTGGCCTCTCGAATCTGTTTGTCTGGCCCTCCATGGCAGCCGGTTGGCTACTGTACAGAGCAGGATGCTGGACCCTCACTGGTCCGATGCTCCCAGTTGCCAAGTTGCTCCTGCTACCCTGCAAGAAGCATCGAGTGGGACGCTTGGCTGGTCACAGCTTCGTTTCACACAAGTTCAAACACCCCTGGGGGCAAGATCCTGTTCCCGCCCTTACCACCCAGCTGCATGCTTTGATGTACGGTGGAGATGCCTCCATGGAGAAGAGGAGAAGGAAGAGAGAAGTGAGAGGAGATTGGATTTATATACCCCGCCCTTCACTCGGCGTCTCAGAGCGTCTTAAAATCTCCTTCTTCCCTTCCTCTCCCCACAACAGACACCCAGTGAGGTAGGTGGGGCTGAGTGAGGCCTGAGAGAACTGCTCTTGAGAGAACAGCTCTGAGAGAACTTTGACTGACCCAAGGTCATGCCATTAGCTGCATGTGGAGGAGTGGGGAATCAAACCCGGTTCTCCCAGATTAGAGTCCACGCTTTTAACCACTACACCAAACTGGCTCCCTGCTCAAATTGGTGTGTGTGTGTGTGTGTGTGTAGAATGTGTGTCTCTTACAGGGTCTCCCTCTTCTCACCCAGCATGACAAAGTCAGTTGGACAGCTAATTCAAATTCTCTGCAACCGGCTGGGCAGACAGACCTTGTTTAAATCCCAGCTCTGAACTTGAACAGCCTTTCCTTGACTGCCTGATGAGGGGAGCGACTGTGACTCTGCTAGATGTGAGAGAGACCCACATCTGCTCAGAGGAAAGAGCCCTCTCCAACCCCCCCCCCCCCCCCCCGGCATACCTCCAACTCATCAGAGTTAAAACCAGAGAATCGGGCATGAGCCCTCTGCAGAACAAGATTCACCGGCAAGTTTGGATCAAAAGTGCCAATCTCATTCTCTCCAGGAGAATGCTGAAATGAGCCAACAAAAATCCTGCGCAGCCACCTCTCTAAGGAGCAGTTGCTTCTTCCTGGATGGCCCCAAGCAGCAATTCTTCAGGCTCAATTCTCCAGACAGGGGACCCTCCACACCGGGGAAAGACTCAACCCCCCCCCCCAGCCGGTGCCCGCCTACTCACCCAGTCTCCCCAGCAGCCCCGGTGGTGGCACTCGGTGGAGTTGGCAAGCTTCCCCTTGGCACGATGGTCATGCCGAGATTCCAGGGCAGGCTGGGGGTGCCATCTGAGCCCAGGAGGGTGGTTCGAGGATGCTCCTTGAGAGGGGGGACTGTGGAAGCAAACACAGAGTTGGTGCTCAGAAACCGGGGTGCAAACTGCAGACTCCCCACTCTCAGCCCTCGGTCCTCGGAGCGCAGGTGGAGGATGGACAAGATCCTGGCCGTCAGGAGCTCGTTCTCCAAAAAGACGCTCTCGTTCCACTTATTGGAAAAAGAGCCACAGAAGAGCAGCTCCGGGGGGGCCGAGGCATCAGCGCCGCTCTTGGAGTGCGTGGCACCCATGCTCACAGCCTGCTTGCCTGCCTGCCGCAGAGAGCTCAGGGACAGACCGCCTTTATACCACCTCGGGATCCTTCTAGAAATGTCTCACAATGTAGACCTGTCACTTCAGCCGTGTCATATTGGCGAAACCAGCAGGGCTGAAGGGCAGGAAATTAGTCCCTACTGTGCCCGTCTCCTCTGGAAATTGCCAAATAGCTTCTTTAGCCCAAAAAAAAAAAAAAAAAAAGCACAACCATTTATAGTCTTCGAAACAAATGAAAAAAAATACCAAGAACTACCAGAGAACACAAGGGGGGGGGGAGCACTCGCAACTGGAAGACTTCTCCGAGAACTCCAGTTCCTACAACTCTACGACTGAGGCACAGAAACAGCCCCACAAGGGCTAGAATGAGAACTCCCTGCCACCTTTCTGATCGTGTTAGGTCTGCAGGCTCCATACACCAATGGTGCAAAACAGCAAAGAGAAAAGCTAATCAGCTGCACCAGAAACGGGACGCATTGGGAACTGAGTGCCACTGACGTTTTGCTAGCAGTATTCATTTCAGCATCCATTTAAACAGAGCTTTTGGAGCCTTTAAAGCACTTCCAACATATTTAGTGCTACCCGAAGCAGAGTTTGGTATGACTGTGCCGTGGATGGCCCTGTGTATCGTACAGTCCTTACAACTGTACTGTAAGGTAGGTCAGTTCTATTTTTGCTGCCAAGGTTGAGAAAGAAAGAATACACAGCAGACGGCAAGATTTAAATGAAGGCCTTCCCGGTCCATAGTGCAATTCTGATCCCGTGCAATTCTGGCGCTCCAGAGGAATGCCAAAAAAGGAGACAACCACACAGAGGAGAGATCTCCCAGCTGCACCACTGTTATGTGGCACCCCTAGCCAAAACAGGCTCTCAGACGAAGCATCAATGCCGACTCAGCGTCAGACTAGTATTGGGGGGATTTGGGTTCAAATCACCAGTTAAACCACGAAGCTCAGTCACCTGTGCACGCCTCCTCTCCCTCAGCTGAAGCTGCCTCAAAGGACTGCTGTGCAGATGGGGGGGGGGGAGAGATCAGAACACGACTGACGGGAACTGCCTTACACAGAACCAGGCCCCCGCCTCCACCCAACTCTGAAACGTCAGTGGCTCTCCACTGTCCCAGGCCAAGCAGGGTCTCTCTCTACACCCAATACCTGAGGAACTGGCTGAACCAGGATCCCGTAGCATGCCCAGCAGGGCCTCTATTTCCTTCTGATGCTTCACTGGCATGGCATCAGGGGAGGTCAAATGAATCCTCACCCATGAAGATGGGTCCTGCCCATTCAGCTCCTTGGGTTGAATTGGGGGGGGGGGTGTCGCATCATTCCAAACAGGCCCCCCTTGGTGAGGAGAACATAAGAACATAGAAACATAAAAGAAGCCAGTGTTGGATCAGGCCAATGGCCTATCCAGTCCAACGCTCTTGTCACACAGTGGCCAAAAATACCAGGGGCCATCAGAAGGTCCACCAGTGGGGCCAGGACACTAGAAGCCCTCCCACTGTTGCCCCCCCCAGCACCAAGAATACAGAGCATCACTTGCCCCAGACAGAGAGTTCCTACCTATAGTAAAGGGAAAGGTTTCCCTTGCTCAAAAGCCAGTCGAATCCGACTCTAGGGATGAGGTACTCATCTACGTTTCCAAGCTGAAGAGCCAGCGCTGTCCGAAGACGTTTCCATGGTCATGTGGCTGGTATGACTGGACGCCAAGGCGCAAGGAATGCTGTCACCTTCCCACCAAAGCGGTACCTATTTATCTACTTGCAATTTCTTGCTTTCGAGCTGCTAGGTTGGCAGGAGGGGTTCCCCTGCCAGAGAGACCTGGCCATGGCCTGACAGGGACAAACTTTCCACCCACACCACAGTCGATGCACCTTTCCCTCCTCCTCCTCCGCAGGAGTGGAAGGGCACAGGGGAGAGAAAAAGAAACAGGACCCCACGCAGGAGTTCTAGCCCTCAGCCACACAAGCCAAAACGCTCCAACTGGGCATGAAGTCTGTGCCAGACCTTATCTTTATTGAGCTGAAACACTTGCATGCTGCCTTTCCACCTGATCAGGGTCCCCGAGGTCATGAAAACATTAAAATATATGAACAATCAGTAACACTTAAAATTATATCTACCCCCAAGAAGAGCTTTACGCTCAGGAGATGAGAACCTCCTGGCGGTCCCCGGCCCAAGAGAGATCCAGCTGTCCTCAAATAGGGCCAGGGCTTCTCCTGCCCTGGCCCCTACCTGATGGAACTCTCTGCCGGAGAACATCTGTGCCCTGCAGGATCTGCTCCCTTTCTGCAGGGCATGCAAGGCAGAGATGTTGGCCAGGCATCTGGGTTGAGGATAATGAGGGCTGCAACATAGTCCGGAGCTCTCCCCTTCCCATCTTCTCCAGCCTCCCTCCCCTATGAGGCTGTGGCATCTCCTGCAAACTTTCTGCCATTTGATGTGGTTGGACTGCATTCTCAGGGGTTATATCCTGCAGGGGTGCACAGGAGCGGAGCTCCGGCAGTAAAGAGCCCAGGGGGCGGGCACATGCAACAAGCCCCACCCCCTGCTCCCAGCAGCCCTCAGTCAGAGCAAGAAGCAGCCAGGTAAGTTGCAGAACTCCCCCTAGCTCCCTGGTCCAAAACAGTCCAGTGGCACCTTTAAGACCAAGTTTTATTCATGTACAAGCTCTCCCTCCTCTGTGAGGGCAGATCTGCACTCCCCCCCCCCCCATAGCTAGCAATCCAAAACAGTCCAGTGGAGCCTGAGCGGTGGGTGTTGCCTTCTGACACACTTCCGGTAATGTCAGGGGGTGTGGCATATGCAAATAAGTTATGCTAATGAGTTATGCTAATGAGCTCCTGCACCTCTTTTTCTACGAAATGATCCCTGGTTTTAGGTATATTCTGTATTTTAATTCTAGAATCTTCACTGCAATTTATAAATTGTACTGGGATTTTATGGTGCTGTACGCTGCCCGGAACCCTGTTTTTCAGGCGAGGGTGGCCTAAAAGTCTAATTTAATAAATAAAGAATAAACAAAACAATTAAGTAAAAAAAACCACAAACAAAACAATACCAGAATCAGGGAGGGGAACAATAATAATTATTGGGGGTGGGGTGGGCCAAATGAAACAAAAGATAGAGACAGACGAGTCTCTCTGGGAAGGCAGCGCCAACGTTTTGGTGAAGTGATCGAGAGGAGTCGTTTCTTGGGTCGCCACCCGTCCAGCCTCAGGCAGCGGGGCAACCCAACCAGGGCCTTGGAGGCTGACCAGAGTGAACAGGTAAGTTCATATGGGAGAAGGCAGCCCTTAAATTACGTTGGTTTATTAGGCTGTATTTATTAGCGTCAACCAGGGGGACTGCACAAACCACCATGGAAGCCTTCGAGCTCCTCACCAAAGTTCTTCATCAGGCTGGTAATTACAGGGCAGAAGGCATACTTCTCTGGCCATGGTGTTAAAGTGTGACCTTGCACACACTCTCTTTAACAACACTAATGTAAAAAGCTTGCACGATTGTTGGGTGACAATTTAGTTGGTCCTCTTAAAATTTCGTTCTTCTTATTGGATTTTGTTCTTCTTGTTGAATTTGGGCATGCCTTGCATCTCAGCTCCCCACTCTGCTGCTGTTGGCTTGCTGTGGCTGGGATCCTTGGAAAACGAAGGTTGCCTTGGAGAAGGAAGCACCCCCCCCCACCCACACACACACACAAACACAGAGTCATGCTGATTCTCCAGCTGCCTCCAGATCCACCCCCAGGAGAGGCATGAGAATGTAAATGCCATCCAAAACACGGGCAGATTCTCAAGCTAAAAGAGCTGTTACTGCTGAGAGGACAATGACTGGGATGAACCACTAGAGAGCCATGAGGGAGGTTTATGAGATGTCTGGGTGCAGCTGAGCAGCTGCCTCGCCCGGCCTCTTTTCCCTGCCCAACTCTGTTCCAAGTCCCGGTGAGGGTGATCGGTTGCCTTTGAGACCAGTTCAAGGGCAGGAGGACTCTTCACCAGAATCATAGAATCAAAAAACTGGAGAGGGCCTAGAGACCACCCATTCCCACCCCCTGAACCCTGCAGGACGACGGAAAGCACCCCTGACAAACAACTGTCCATCCTCTGCCTAAACACCCCCATGGAGGGAGAGCCCACCCACATCCCTGGGCAACTGATTCCACCACTGAATTGCCTTTATTGTTAAAAAGTTTTGTCACCAATATCTCCCACTACCAACTATACTCTAGATCAGGGATGTCGAACTCATTTGTTATGAGGGCCGGATCTGACATAAATGAGACCTTGTTGGGCCGGGCCATGTGTGTCCTAAAATGTAATGCCAGGTAGCGGAGATATAAACTTTATAAAGGATACAAAAAAACACAAAGGGTTTCTTTTACTTAAAATAAAAGCATGCTTAAAATGTTAGCACTCTTGCAATATTCTGTTTATTTAACAGCGTCTGATAACTGACACCTCTTGCTCTGAATTACTGCACCAAAATGTCTGTGCTGTTGCAATCTTGAGCATGCTGTTCAGGTGTGTATCTGTAAGCTGCAAACCTAAGATGACGCAGCAGAACTGGAAGCAGCAGCAGAAGACAGCCAGTTCCACTGTGGGCCTGATAGAAGCCCTCCGAGGGTCTGATCTGGCCCCCGGGCTGCATGTTTGACACCCCAGCTCTAGATGACAGCCCTTCAAACAGTTGGAAAGGATAATCATCCCTATTACCCTTCAACCTCTTCTCCTTCAAGCTGAACATC